CTCTTCTCCTGGTCTGGCCTTCCCCCCTCCCCCCTCCCCGCCCCGCCCACCCCACCACACAATCCGCGAGTCAGTTGGCGTATCTTGTAGCTGCCGACGCGAGCCGAGGCCGGCCGAGGTGAACCTGGCCGCGCCGACTTTTAGTAACTGCCGTGGGTCATTGCGCTGCGGTGCTAGTGATGGTGGCGTGCTGCTGCTACCTTTTTTGTGCACTTGCATCGTTGGTGTACCAGGTGGTGTTTGTGCGTTGCGCAATGTGCTGGAGCTGTCATTGTGGGCTGCTGCGATGGCGCACGTCCGTCTGCCGGAGCGCGGGCCTTTGGGAGCGGTGCTGTGCGGCTGAGTGCTTGTTCGTGGCTGCTGAATGTCTCGTGTTGCGATCGGAGAGCGGGAAAGCGATGCACTCTCGGTTTGGTGTGCGCATTTGTGAGCTAACTGCTCACTGTGCCAGCATCTCACTGAATGCATTATTTTAGCTGTAAAACATTGCGTACTGCCGCGGGCTGTCCTTGACAATTTGGTGCGCGAGAGCTGGCAGCTGTTTTGGAAATCTTGCGACACAACAACCGCTATAGCATGATGGATGCCGAAATTCAGGTTCGCGAATTTCGTTTCGCTCTGCGTTCCAGGAGAAGAGTTGGGCAACCACTTTTGGTTGCTGTTCGGACAGAGACATCGCCGGCACTTTTCTCATGCAGTCGGAGCTTAAAATAAACCGCTATGGCCTGCGGAGTCAGTTGAGCTATTTTGTCCCCCTTCCCCCCCGCGCCTCTCTCCCCATCCATCCCACCTTCCTCCTGCACCTTCGTTTGCAGTCGCGTCGTGCCACGTCATATCCTAAGCGTTTTCTCTTGCGTAGGCATTCAGTAAAGTTATGAGATGAAATTCTAATACATTGCATCGTGTATGAAGCTAAGGCCAAAGAGTCAAGCCCATATCAAACGGGACGGGCCAAAACATGAAGAGCCTTAATGTAACATTAAGGCTATGGTCCGTTCCGTTTAAAACACTGTTCACTTTCAAAAATTTTTCTGAACGAAAGTGTGGCTACGCCTTGTTTTTCTTTACACATTGCTCGAGGAGATGAATCGACGTTTTTGGAGTTTAAAAAGTTATCAGGAAATTAGCAGGGAATGCGACTGCGCTGAGCGTCGGCGTGGATTTATTTCTGGATGTTAAGATCCCGTGCTGAGCACATGCACAAGTGCAAATTATTAGTGTGCAGAGGACAAATCTGAGCTGTTCCAGGCATTGGATAATTTGTGCAAGATGCTTTACGAAAGCATGGATGGTACGAGTAGGCTGCGTGCCGAGCACAGCCTTGCTGAATTGGCTACATCACCGGACTGCCTCAGAAGGTGTATGCTGCTGCTGCAGACCGGAACTGTATGTCGCGTTTTTATTATGCGTTTTTTGCAGCAATGCAATGCGAAAAACGCATATTGACGAGAGGTTGTTTGCGTGTGTGTCTCTCTATGTGTCTGTGTGTCCGTGTATGCGTCTGTCACGGTTTTTCATCTCAAGACCTGCAAAAGCTACGGGGCTGAAATTTTGGGGACTTAGTCTACATGCACGTACGGCCCCCAATCCCCAAAATTTGGGCTCCATACCCCGCGTACGGGCCCCCCAAAGTTTTTTTCGAGTAATTTCATAACTCGGGGATCTGGGAAGCTAGAAAGCTGAAATTTTAAGGGATTGTCCCCCGTCCAAGTAGGTATTAATGAGCTCAAATCCAGCCCCCGGGTAAGCGTGGTACCCGCGTACGGCCCCCTCCCTCCCCAAATTTTTCCCGCACAAATTCATGCTCGGGGTTCTGAGATGCTAGAAAGCTGAAATTTTAGGGGAACGTTCCCCGTCCAAGCAGGTGCTGATCGGGGTTCTGAGATGCTAGAAAGCTGAAATTTTAGGGGAATGTTCCCCGTCCAAGCATATGCTAATTGGTTCTGAGATGCTAGAAAGCTGAAATTTTAGGGGAATGTTCCCCGTCCAAGCAGGTGCTAATGAGGTTCTGAGATGCTAGAAGCCCCGTCCAAGCAGGTGCTAATGAGCTGAAATCCAGCCCCCGGGTAAGCGTGGTACCCGCGTACGAACCCTCCAAAATTC